AGCCCCAAACCCAAACCCTCAACCCTAAACCCTAAACCCTAAACCCTAAACCCTAAACCGGTCCTGAGACTGTCCCAAGCCCGAACAACAAAGCTACAAAAAGTGCCACAAAGGTTGCGCAGCACATGTCTTAACGGTTAGGGTATGGGGTTTAGGGTTTGGGGTTTAGGGCTTAGGGTTTAGACGGACTCTAGAATCGGAAAAGCTGCACCTTCCTGTGAGGGAGCTTCGAGCCGGCAGCAGAAGATGCATCCCAAGACCAGAGAAAAGGAACTCGGGGGATTTTGAGATTTTTGGAGTTTAGGGTTGAGGGTTTAGGGTTTAGGGTTTAGGGTTTAGGGTTTAGGGTTTAGGGTTTAGGGTTGAGGGTCTAGTTTAGGGTTCGGTGGGTTTCCTGGACGTTGTCAAGGGGTTTAGTCCGTAGTTGGGCGCTTGGGGCTTCAAAAGGACCTCCTCCTGGGAAGGCTTCGATAAGAGAGGTTCCTACAGCTTGGCATTCAAAGATTAGCCTGCTGGGGTTCAGGTCGAGGGTCTACGGGGCTTGGCGGTTTAGGGTTTAGGGATTAGGGTTTAGGGTTTAGGGTTTAGGGTTTAGGGCTTGGATGCGATGCTGTTGAAATCGCCTCGGGACTGCATCCGTCGAGGCAGTAGTGACTTCTGGTGCTTGGTCCCTGCAAGCACAACACAAACTACCGGAAACCACACTCTCTCTCTCGAATCAGAGCCCTGCACCCAAACCTCCAAAACGGCTAATCGTCAACCTAAGCCCAAAGAAAAACCCTCCAGAGAACCACGAAGTGCCGAAAATACGCCACATTCCCCAAGACCGACCTCCTCCCACCACCCCCAAGAAAGGACTTACCACCACGCAGTTCCTAGGTTCAAGAGTCTCGGGTTGCCAATCTCCCAAAAAAGCAAACCTAGACCCTAAGCCCCAAACCCTAAACCCTAAACCCTAAACCCCAAACCCCTAAACCCTGAACCCTAAACTCCTAAACCCAAAAACAAACAAAACCTTACATTTTAGGGTTTAGAGTTCTAGACCACAAACGACTCAGCTGCGCACAAAAGGGGCCTTGGTCAGAATCCTTCAACTACGAAAGCACTAAACCCTCAACCCTAAACCTTAAACCCTAAACCCGAAACCCTAAACCCTAAACCCTAAACCCTGAAACACCCGGGGCCTTGGTCAGAATCCCACGGAGCTCTCCGAGCAGCTCCTCGGAGGTGCGCGCCGCGGCGCCACCGGCGGCCTGGCCGTCTCGCGAGCTTAGGGGCTAGGGCTTAAAGCTTAGGGTTAGGGCTTAAAGGGTTTAGGGTTTAGGGTTTAGGGTTTAGGGGTTTAGGGTTTAGGGCTTAAGGGTTTAGGGTTTAGGGTTTAGAGCCAGGATGCTTTTGTGGTTTTGTGACAGCTTTCGATGGGTTTTGGATGGTTTTGGAAGATTTAACCTGGGTTTGTGAAGACTTTCGTAAGGCTGTATAAGTATAAGGGTTTTACGAGGATGTCATTACATAAGCCTTTTGCCAGCTACTTAACGGACCTTGCATGCTGTTTGAATAAGGATTTCGCACACTATCCTAGACGTTCATGGGATTTATAGTTCTGGGTTCACTTGTAGGGCTTAGGGCTAATATGTGTGAGCAGTGCTGTTCTTTTGGGGGGTGTTTCGGCCTCTGCCGGGGTCCATAAAGCGCTCATGCTAGCCACGGTTTAGGGTTTAGGGGTTTAGGGTTTAGGGTTTAGGATACGACACGCTTTCTGCAAAAGTGGTCTTAGGCCTGCAAGCTGTAGAGTGTCGAGGCTTCGGGATTTGTTGTTTTTGAGTGTTCAGCTTTGCCATCGAGGTTTAGGGTTAGGGTTTAGGATCATAAGAGTTGTAGGATTCAATTCAGGGTTGAGGGTTTAGGTGCGAAGGGAGCTACAGTTTGCTTTGGGCCTGAGATCTGAATGTGGGTAGTTTCTCTAAATTAGGCTCCCTTGTTGGGTCCCCAATATAGACCCTAAACCCTAAACCCTAAACCCTAAACCCTAAACCCTAAACCCCAAACCCTAAACCCTAAACCCTAAACTTTAGGGACCCTAATTTAGAAAACTACCCTTTTGGGCCTTGCACCATTCAGGGTTTACTCGCTTCGAGTGCAGGGACTCAAGGGTCGGAGGTTTAGGGTTTAGGCTTTAGGATTTTGGGTTTAGGGTTTAGGGTTTAGGGTTTAGGGTTTAGGGTTTAGGGTTTAGGGTATAGGTTTTAGGGTATAGGGTTTAGGGTTTAAGGTTTAGGGTTTAGGGTTATGCAGGCTTGACTTTGGGTTTGGGGGGGGGTTTTGCGGGGTTTGGAGTTTCGCCGCTTGGCTTTGGGATTCGGGAGATTGCGCAGGTGTCCACGTTTATCTCAAAGGGCTCAGGGGTTACGGTCCTGAGCTGTGGTCTGCACCCTAAACCCTCAACCCTAAACCCTCAACCCTAAACCCTAAACCCTAAAACCCCCAACCCTAAACCCTCAACCCTAAACCCTAAACACTAAAACCCCCAACCCCTGAACCCTAGACCCGACACCTGCTGAAGCAACTTACTAGGAACCCGAATAAAGACCCAGCAGGGCTTCTGAATAAGGTTCCTTTAGGTTTTAGGGTTTAGGGTTTAGGGTTTAGGGTTCCTATATTAGTGGTTTAGCAAGTGCATGAGTTGGGCTTGGGTGCTTAGCGCTTATAGAGCCTAGAGTGAGTAGGCTGCAAAGGAGACCCAGGCCTTCCAATATCCCGTAGTTAAGGAATATGTGTATATATATATATATACATATATATATATATATACATATATATATATATGTATATATATATATATGTTAAATCATACTGGGGATCCTACTGTGATTTTAAGTCTATTCCTTAATTCAAGAGTATTGAAAGGACTGGGGAACTGTGTAGCTGTGGAATGATGCTCCCTGCGCTTCCAAGGAGGCTGCCAGCCAGGCACGTCGCAAGGATGCGGTTCACCCAAACTTTCAGAAATCCTGCGGGTATGCCAGGCCTGCTACAACAACCGCGAGAGCTGTTAAAGAGCTCAAGGTTTAGGTTCTAGAGCCAGATTTGGGTGTAGGGTAGCATACCCCGCTCAGTTTGGGATTTGGTTCGCTGGCTCCTGATGTTAGGCTCACCAGAGTCAGATTTCAGCTACAGTGCGAGAAGCTTCCCCACGGAATACTGACTCCTGCAATCAACACAACAAGCTGAAAAAACACTACCACTCCTGTTGAGGCAAAGAGCCCATTTTCATCCACATAGGCGATAGCCCGGTCAAGCACCTCCAGCTTTGCCTCTTCGGGCAATGCCTTCTTTCCGCTTGTAAAGATCTGCCCGTCGTGGACCAAGCTTGCCACAAACTTTTGCCCCCGGGTGGGCTCAACAAGGAAACTCAAGGTCTTTCCTAGCTTCCGCTGCAGCAGAGTGCGCTTTCGGCTTAGCGATTCTCGCACTTCTAGTGGTGCGACCTCCTTGGGCGGCACGGAAGGTTTCGGCGCTGGCCCACGCGGACCATCTGGCCTTTGCCACCTTAAATACATGCCAATACTATGACTAGGAGAATCCCCTTCCGGAGAGACCGGGCTCTGGCTCTGCCTAGCGATGAAAGTGTCCACTTCCAGCTTCCTGGTCTCGTATTCCGGATGCTGGACTTGCACCTTCCCGCAGCACCTGCAACGATCTTCCGGTCCGAGACCCACTCCCTTGTTATAGTCATTGCAGTACAAGCACTTGTGGTTCCTCGACCCAGGGTTGCCCGGCGGTCGGTAAAAGCAGTGCCGGGACGGGTGCTTGCCCTGCTCACCCCTCGTGTTGTTGATATAGCTGCCATCGATGCCGTTGTTCTCCAAATGCTCCAGACGCTGCCTCCACTGACCTGCCACAATCTCCTCCGCGCAGTGTTCGAATCGGCTGATGTGTTCGTTTCGTTTCGGGTGCTCTCGCAGATCTCGCCACAAGTCTGCACTGCACAGCGATGAAGTGTTCCAGTGTCTCAGCTCTGCCAGCATGCGGAGGAAGAAATCAAAGGTCTCCGCATGGACGTCTGCTCCTTCAGCTTGGAGTTCTTCTCGGTCTCTGAGCCGTGGACAGCGGCCAGGCTCGTTTGCAAGTCTCCAAGCCATGGCTTTCAGCAGAAATCCTTTGGGCCGAGTTGACCAGAGCTGCTTCAGACCGCTCAGTGCCACCCTGGCTGCCGGATGGTCTATGAGAAACGCGTCGATTCTCGCGTCGTTCTCGGCGAAAGATGTGCCCTTCCGAAGGTGCGGAAAGCCTTCAGCGTCATCTGGACAGAATGAGAGTTCCACCGGCAAGGATTTGTTAAATTTTCTTTCAACGACTTGAAACTGGATCTTCATGTCCTGGGAACGAACATCTTTGACAAAGCACAAAGACTCAACGCCGTGCCTCAGTGCTTCCACATGCATCTGATTGAAAGAAATTCCTACCCTTGCCTGCGGCAAAGGCAGAATCCACAAGTCATAATCACTGCCACTCCGCGAGAAGGTCCCGTCTTTGTGTGAACCGACAGATTTCAAATCTATCGGAACGCCAAGCGCTTCTCTGCAGGCATCTGTCAGCCTCTCAAAGGCAAAATGTGTGAGAACAATGATGGATTTGCCCTTCTGGACCACACGGTTAAACATGTTGCACAACTTTGGATATTGAAAGCTAGTGCTTCCCTCGAGGACGTTGCAGAGGAGTGTCGCTCCCGAGCAAAACCCAGCTCTGCGCACGAGGTGATGTCGTCCCCCAAAGCTGGCCCCGTTGGATCTCCGTCCATTGCATGAGGGCGAAGTAGTCCGAGGCAGGAAGCGGGCTATCGCCGGTTTCTTCGGCACAAAGAAAACCAGGAAGAGAAGCAGAAAGGTGGAGGACCATGACCATCCCGCTGATGGACTCCTGCAGTGGGCACTGCTCGGCCTCCTCCGCAACCGGCTCAGTCGGGGCCCTGCGGCGATCATCTGCGCTAAACGGAGGTGCTCATCGCGAGGGAATCTGCAGAAAGCTCCGCTGGGGGCGAAAAGGTCAGGGCGCGGCCTGCCGAAGTCTTCCCCCCAAAGCAAACTCGTAGTGATAGGGAATCCTATCTAAGCAGGAACCACAACTACCGGCCACCTCTTAGCCCGACTCTTCAGCTTGAGGTTCAGCCCTTAATCCTGACCCACTTCCGCACAGAAGACACCCCTCTTCACTCAGTCCGTGCCCACCCCTAGCCTGTCGCTCCCAAGTAGCCTGAGTGGCTCGAATTCTGGATTTCAACCCTAAACCCTGAACCCTAAACCCTAAACCCTGAACCTTGGCATGTTCGGATCTGCTGCTGCGGCCCTCTGACCCTCGAAATCCCGCTCCCTCCCGGGCAGCGGGCCCGAAATCTTATCCGCGGCGTATAGCAGCGAGCCTGGTGATCGCAGAACCCTAAACCCTAAACCATGATGTGGTTGTTGATTCTTATTTGTTGCAGTTTCTGGCTTTTAGGCTCTAGGGATTAGCACTAAAGGGCACTCGGGTTTCGTATTTCTGCTGAGGTTCAGGCTTAGGGCGTAAGGTACTTGGGATGATGGGAATGAGTAAGGTCATACGTACCTTTACCGGAGCAAAAAGTGAGCTATAATTGCAACTACCTTGTGTCTAACCTTAACTGCTAATTCCCATGGACCGTCGAACAGATCCTAAACCCTCAACCCTTCGAGGAACCCTTTAAACACAAAACTGTCATAGAACCCTCTAGCGCCCTGAACCCTAAACCCTAGTACCCTA